TTACCAACCGGGGCAGGCGGGGCAGGAGAGCCCAGGGCAGCGGGTGGGGAATGCCCTGCTCCGGGGAGCCTGCAGCACAGCAGCCCCACCGGCCTCCCCTCCCTCAGCCGGGCATGGCTGTGCCTGCCACGTCCCCCTGCAGTCCCCCGGGGTGTGGGCTGGAGCCAGACCTCAGCCATGGGGGCTGGAGGAAGAGACGGAGAAGAGACTGCACCTGCAAGAGCCTGGGGAAACATGCAGCAGTTTTAGTACATGTGCCTGTGCTGGTGTGTGCAGAGATGGGGAGTTTTGGCCAGGCAGGGTGTGCATGGGAGAGAAACGCAGTGTCCCTCACAGTACTGCCTTGAGTGATAGTTTTCCCTTTTGGCACGTTAACATCTGCGCTCACTTTCATACCTCTCCTGTATTCGCTTTTAATATGCACAGGATTTCAGTGCTCTTTTGTTTCCAATTTGCAGTGTGCTTCTCTTGATCAGGAGGAGTGACTGCCTCAGCAGAGAAAAAAAACAGTTTCATCATTCTGTTTTTCAAAACAAGGTACTAAGATGAAGGCAGAAAGCGTATGTCATTTGAAAGACCTGTCTCTTTTTGTTGGAATTTCTTATTCTCTGGAAAGGAAGACAGGCTTTCAATTACAAATGCAGGAATGTTCCAGTTCCAGTATTGCTTAGAAAACACTTGTTATTTGTTACTGCTGGTAGCTACAAAACCATGGTTTACACAGTAGCCCATTTCCAGGAGAAAACTCTCCACTTTGCAATGTAAGGAACGACAGCTCCGATTTTTGTCACATATGCAATAGCTAACTCTGTTTTAAAATCCTGAGATGCCAATAGCTCCTTCTACATTAAAGAGAACACCATAAAAATAAACCACCAAGTAGTTGTGAAGTTTTTTACCAATTAATTTGAAGAGAAACAGGCAACATCTGCCTGCTGCTCTAAAACAATTCTAATCTGCAACAGAGTATGCTTCACAGCAGCTTTGCAGAAGCCCTACTCTTGGAGCAAGCCTTCCTGCAAGACTTGGGTGCACCCCTCAACATCTGGGGGGGGGGGGGGAGGCCCCGGCACAGCAGGAGCTTTTAGAGATTTGGCAACAGTTTGGTCTGCCTTATCAGTGAGCAGCCAGCCCCTGTGCCTTGCAAGCCCCTGAGGCTCAGCCTAGATTCAGGCTTCTCAGTTTGCAAAAGACCCAGTAGGACTTTGTATCTGAGTCCTGCAGGTTTCCAGTAGGATTTCGTCTCCTGGGGAGGTGTTTTCTGAAGTCCAATACCAGTATACAAGCCCAGACTTGCTCTCGAAAGCAGTTTGGACCCAAATCCTCAAATGTGCACAGTCCCTAGGCCACCCAGCACAGCAGCAATCCCAGCCTGCAGATTTTGCTATCCCAGTTGCAGACTGAGTCTTCGGTCGCTGCTTTTTGTGAGGGGCTCTCAGCAGTGCCTTTGCACCCATGCATTCAGGGACCTTGTGCAGGAGCAAAGCCAAATCTGCGCAGGCACACAGCAGGTCACGTAGGAGTGACCACTGCAGTGCTCTGTAGAAACTGGGTGCTGGACTGCACCCACAGCATCTCCTTTTTAAGCAGGAGGCAGAAAAGCAGACAAGCGAATGTAATGCGCTCCCTGTCCTCAGTCACAGACCATTTTCCCCAGAAGACTTATAAAGTGCTGCCTAGAAAGCCAGCTTCATGTGCATGGGCGTGTGTGCATTGTGGCTAAGTATCTCTGAAAATGTGACCTGAAAATGTTACCATTTTTTCCTAGTCCAGAAAGGTACTTGGTTAATATGCCTTCAATAGAAGTTACTCTTAAATGGAGTCTTGAAGTGCTGCTCACTTGTGCCGGGGCCTTGATGTTCCAGTAATGATTCTAAGTATTAACTATGTATTAAATATAGACAGATAATATATTCCTAATTTAATGCTCCATGTTTTGCTGTATGTTGAAGATGTGCATATTTAGCTGTAGAATGAAACAGGATGGATGACACATTTTAAAAAACTGTAATTATGTCTTTCCATAGATACACAGTCTGTTCATTTGGATACTTAAGCAGTGGAGGAGAAGGGTAGGCTATGTACATTTTCTCCAGTAATCACAGAATCACAGAATCACAGAATGGTAGGGGCTGGAAGGGACTTCTGTGGGTCATCTAGTCCAACCCCCCTACCAAAGCAGGGTCACCTACAGCAGGCTGCACAGGACCTTGTCCAGGCAGCTTTTGAATATCTCCAGAGAAGGAGACTCCACAACCTCCCTGGGCAGCCTGTTCCAGGGCTCCGTCACCCTCAGAGGGAAGAAGTTCTTCCTCATGTTCAGACGGAACTTCCTCTGCTTCCGTTTGTGCCCATTGCCCCTTGTCCTGTCGCTGGGCACCACTGAAAAGAGTCTGGCCCCATCCTCCTGACACTCACCCTGCAGATATTTGTAAGCATATATTAGGTCCCCTCACAGCCTTCTCTTCTTCAGGCTGAACAAGCCCAGCTCCCTCAGCCTCTCCTCGTAGGGGAGATGCTCCAGTCCCCTCACTGTCCTCGTAGCCCTCCACTGGACTCTCTCCAGTAGCTCCTCATCTTTCTTGAAGTGGGGAGCCTAGAACTGGACAGAGTACTCCAGGTGGGGCCTCACTAAGGCAGTGTAGAGGGGAAAGAGAACCTCCCTCGACCTGCTGGCCACTCTGTTCTGAGTCACATAATACCACTAGTCAAGATATTTACTCAAACATACTTAAATTTATCTCTCTTCTCTCAAAAAAGGTATACCAGCCATGGGCTGCAACGCCTTCTCCATTAATAAATCATGTCTTTCAAAGTCATGTGGGTTTTTCTTTTGAACAATTTTCACCTAAGCATCCAGATTTATTATAGTCTCCATACAGTTTGTTTCAAACATAACTAGACTTGATTTTTATAGAAAAGTGAACATTTTATTTTGCTTGTGAGGTAAATATTTATTTCTGCAGACAGTTCAAAGAATTCTGCTGTTCCAATCCTGTTATATGTTTATACGTACATTTGATTTAGCTTATCACACACCATTGGTAAGACCATCCTACAGAGAAGGCAGAACAATTTCAAAATGAATTTTTGGAATGAGATGTAGAATTGTAGGTGGATGCAGCTTCATGTCTATTATCATTTTCTCCTTTATTCTTATTTGAAAGAAAATGAGGCATAATAAAGTCTCATTTCTCTAAAACGTAGTTCACTCTAGCATTTTATGTAACATATGGTGGGACTGTGACATAAAGTGTGTACAGATAGAGTTCTATATTAAAGTAGCATTTATAAGAACTACTATCTTGCCAAAATGAAAGGAGACAAACCTGCTGATTTCATGTTATTGAAATCAACAGCAATAATGTCTACTTCCTTCCAAATTCTGAATCATATAAAGTGTGTGGTTTTGGTATGCAGTTTGCTTTGTATGTGAAACAGTGAAGAAAAACAATGATTTAGCTAAAAGGGAACAAATCAAAAGACTGTCTGCCTTTAAACTGAGCAGCAGAAAATTGAGTTTTGTTTTTTTCCTCCTTCTCAGACTTTCCAGCTAACATTTTATGCAGTTAATGTTTTTTGGCAAGGAAATTGTTCTGCTTACACCTGACATTTCACAGAGCAATAGTAACATATTCAAGAAATTTCTTCAGTCTAAGATCTCTATTAACAAACATTTGCAAACTTGGGTCAAAATAAATGGTTTTGTATACATGACAATCCAGAATATCTTTTAGATTTTTAAGACATCATATATGAAGATAAAATCCTCTCTTCAAAAATTATCTTAGTAATTTGGAAGTATCCATTATGTACTGCCTTAAGTCATTACATAAACATTTATATAGTGATAGTGTTATTAGCTCATCTACATTATAACCGATTAGTCCCATGCTTATGGCTATCAGTTATGGTATACTCCACATGAGGACATTTACCTGTACAGGCAGAACTGCCCAAGGAGGACTAGCCAGGCTTCAGGTGCTCCCCACTGCTCCCCACCCTGGCCTCTTCTGTTATCGAGTTCTAACTGTGGATTGGTAATTGATCTCCTGGTATCGCTCACTCTTGGGTTTACAGGGAGACCGCTGCAGCTTCCTACACTGGCTGATGAGCTTGCAGGTTAGTTTTCAATCCCTTGCTGGACATCTCAAGTCAGGTCTGTCCCACAGGCTGGCAAGAAGTCTTCTCTATACTGCCAAGGAACATCAGTACTCCTTTGCCTGTCTTGTTGCTGGGAAGAAGCTGTTTTCACCTCCTTACATGCGGTTCATGTATCTGTTCGTTAAAATATAGCTTAACTATCTTGACACTGCTCTGCAGTCATATATGTCTCTTCTGTCCATCCACATGGCTAGAAAACCAGGCTTCCTTCCCCTGCTGTCTAGATGAGGATGCTGCAGTAGTCTTTCCTCTGAACTCCACATGTGCAATCTTTTCCCACTCTTACACGCTCAGAAGGCTTCAGCAACAATTGTTCTGGATTTTGTCGTGCATCCCTTTCCCTTCCTTACACTTCTCTTTTGTATTAATTACATCTTGCTTCTCTTCCCTTTCACAAGAGAAGAAAGATCCCCTTCATATTTTATCCCCATCACACCTATGAGCTCATGTTCACTGTCAAGATACGGACTCTCACCTTCACCTGGTCCAGAATACCATTTTACTATGGAGCATTGACAACACAACTTCACGCTTTCTTCTGTAGTCATCGTCACATTTAGGAGGTCCTTATAAAAACCATCAAAGCCTTTAAAACATCCTCTGACTGGCCTGTATGACAAAAATCTCCCTTTCACCATTGAGCTAACACTAGTGCATATCCATCAACAATACCTGTCATAGAATTGCAAGGTTCAGCTATCTGCTGACATGCTTATGAGGCTGTCTAATCCTGCCCAAAGCAAGCCCACAGGACAGGCAAGAAAGTTGTATGAGTTGCTTCCGTAGACTATTTTTTCCACCTTTCTAATCACTGTGAAATTGTACTGTAATAAACATATTTATTTAAATGTAAGGAAAAGTGCAGCACAGAAACACTTCAGTATGATTAGATCATATCTACCTTCAGATCAGAAATGGCTAAAATGTGTTTGGATTACACCATTTTTAAAACAGGTTCCAGTAAAGTTGTTTAAGTTCTTATAAACAGAATCACCTTTTTTATTCTCTTTTAGTGACAATTCCTTTACTTTAAAATGTTCTCTTTAGTAATTCAAACAGGAGTCCCACTGGAGTGTAATTTTTTGTTGTTGTTACACAAGTTTTAGGTGGAACACAACTGGATGTTGATTTTCATCTGCTGTATCAAAAATGTGAAATTGTGCTATGATCAGAGAAAATTATAAAAGTTCTATAAAGCACTTCTGGTTTCTTTAACAAACACAACTAAAATAAAGCTTGAGTACTTAAAATTGTGGATCTTTTTAATATATAACAGGAAAACTTAGTTCTCAAATATTAACAATACAGACTTTATTACTATGACTGATGTTTGTTTATTGTAACAAGATCTTTATTTAAGAGAAAAGCAATAGTGATTCAGCTGGAAAGTTTCTGATCTGGTTATTTCACGAGTACCGGAAGGGCAGGGTGTACCAGGAGAGAAATCAACCCCAACAAGGAAACAGAACACAGAACAGTTCTTATCCTGCAATAAATATGAATCGCGGTATCATCAAAGTGTAATTGTTTCCTTATATTGTGCTGGCTAAGAAACTTCATAATTATCCCTTCAGAAGAAATCTTTTGTTTCTTTAGAAGGTTACCTTTGTAGACATTAAAAGAGAAACTGAAAACCAAAAGAGTAGTCCACTCTGTTAGTGCTATGGCAGCTGCAGGGATGCCTTAGTTACAACACCATTTTACTTTAGTAAGTTCCCAAATTTAGCAGGTTTTAGCCTGGATACCACTAGGCTTGTCAATCAGTCTTCCGCCTGGAGAAATAAACACATTTTTAATCCAGAGTCCTCATTCTCTTTCCCCTCAGCTATAATTCTTGTCATATTCTCTTAGACACAAAAAAACACAAAATCACATTTGAATTCTCCCGAACAGCAAAAAAAGAGATTTTATGCAGAAAGAGTCACGCACACCACAGAAAGTAGGTGGCCCGTTTAGAGTCATCTTTGCTTAGCACCTATTTTGTGCTGAAATTGTCAGATTACCTTGTCAGCAAGCCTAAAGCAATGCTAATAGATGGATAAAGTGGGAGATGGCTGAAAGACTACTACAAACATCAAGTGTACTTGCTGTGGGCAGGATTCCATTTGTGACTGTCAACACTGGTATATGTCCCACATTTTCTAACTGCACTTCTCCACCTCACGTCTGAATTAGATTTCAGAATATCTGAAGTAGCTTAAACAATGCAAAAGAAATGAAAACAGCTGTTTGCCATAATTTCTTCCTCTGCCATAATTTCTTCCTCTTCAGCATGTATCTTCACAGATACTTGAATAAAGCAAATAATAATGAAATGACCAAATAGCAGTTACTTATCAGCATAACATGAAGACTATCATCAAAATGTTTACCTTTTAGAGAGAACAGACAAGAGTAGTGACAATTAACCTCTGGCAAGCATGCTAGAACTGGCTTCTGGTATTCATACCAATAGCACACCATCTGCTCTTTGAGCATGATTCTGGAAACTGATAGTGAGGTGGCAAAGCTTCTTGCTGGCTCCTTAACCCCATATGTCAGACAGAAAGCGTGGTTTGTAGTGAGGAAGAAGAAACAAGCACTAGCATTGATGAATTTGTGTTAGCTGATTCCAGCCAGCTATACTGAAGGACGCTGTTCAGAAGGATTCCTTCTATGTTATTTTCATAAAATTCTCCTGTGGACAATGACAACAGAATCTTTCCAATTTAGCTGAACCTTCTAGAATATATATATATGCTATGTATATTCGAGGTGTATTTTCACTGGAGAGAACTTCTGCAAATATAAACATAAGAAGACAAGTTGAAAGAATGCCTGCCTGTCTCCCAACTGAGGAAGTAAAGCTCTCCTTCCCTGACAGACTTACTTTCTTGCTATGTTAAGATAACTTGCATTTCTCTCTCTTTCTGGCATAAAATGTGTCGATGAGCTACCTCAACTGGCTCCTGGAACTTCAAAGTCCACTAACACGATGTAGAAAGTAAAAAATGAAATTGAAAATAAAATGTATGCATTGATAGGGCATCCTCCTCTTCTACTTCCTTGATGCAGCAAATGAAAAGAGGAGAGACTTACTCAACACTGGACAGTAAATCACCTGTGGTAGCAGAGCTTATGGACGAAGAAGACATGATAGTAGCAGAGGGCTGACCAGCAGCTTTGACAGATACAATGATATGAGGATGTTGGTGTGAAGCCATACTAAGGCATTTTCACCGTGGAAGCAAGAGGGAAACCAGAAAGGCAGATTTTCTTGCCATTTCATACTTTATGATCATAAAATCAGACTGTCTTTCATCACAATAAATGGAACAATTTGCAGGATAAGTTTTTATGAAGCATAAAAATAGCAGAATCAGACCATAGGTTGTTACCAGTATTTCCTTCAAATCTAAAGCAAAACTTATTTTAAATCAGAAAAGTTTAGTTTGATCAACTCCAGAAAACAAATAGAAAAAGACACCAAATCATCTCTTCAGTTTCCCTGAAGCTGTGGGACCTAACTGTCACAAAAGGTTGCCTTTTGCTGCAGAGTTGTGCTGTTGGAAAGCTTGACCTACACAGCAGTGGCTCCTCTGGGCAGTCCCCTCTTTAGCTTTTTCCTCAGCAGCACGCTGTTTCTCTGGGCGACTGCTCTGCTCTGAGACCCAGGTCCTCCGAAACACCGTGCTTCGGGCAGCTGTGGCAGCAGCCAGTGCGCTGTGGCTCTCAACAACATGAAAGAAGAAATGAAAGGGCAGCTGAATGCCCAGCAGCAGATCACACAGCCTTGTGTAGCTACTTGAAACCTGTCAGACTTATGCTTATTCCCCATGCCTGTTATATACATATGAAATAAAAGGAAATACAAAGTCAGTAGTAGTGGGAAGTTGTTGCTACCTGATGGCTGATGGTGAGCAATGATCCCTGTTAATGATCCCTAGTTCTGGCTGAACGACAGCAGTTCTCTGTCTTTCTACATAAATACCTTAATCTTTAAAATAACAGCACCAGCTGTTATTTTATTGAAAATAAAATACTAGAGGATTGAAGTCCCATCAAAATTACTTCGATTGCACATTTAAATTGAGGACAGGAGCTGCATTTCTGGGAGGAGGTGAGGTACACCTGCTTTGACATATCAGTACAACCCCAGCATGAGGAGCGTGTTTCAGGCATAGCGTCCCATTTGGGCATAGCATGCTGCGGGGTATGCTGAGGTCTACCTCAGGCTTCCGCAGACTCTGCCACCAGAAATGTCTTTATTCCTGAAAGACAGTTTGGTTTCAAAGTAGATTGAACCCACGATTTGGCACTCTACTCAGTTCAAACAGCCGTGAACTTATACGTGACTGTTGTGTTAAAGTCTATCAGGACTCCAGTCTCTAACATATGACTCCTGTTTTCCATGGACAATGAATCTGAAAATGTTCAACTGGAACATGCTGTATTCTACTACTGTAGTAAAAATTCTCATATGTATATAACAGAAGACTTTCAATATTTAATGGAACCAAAACACTAACATGGCTACATAAAATAAAGTGAATTAATAAATTCACATAACAACAAGTGTTCCTGACTAAAGTGTGTATCTACACAGTTAATTGAAATCACATATTTGCAATATTTATATTTTATTTTAGCATTCTTTGTCTCAGAACTCATACAAAAGCAAACAAGTTTGATATTTTTTGAGCACAGTGTATAGTTAAAGGCTGAAGTGTTAATGGTAGTTACTGTTATTTGCAGTTGGCGGAAATGTTTGCAGAATATTTACTTGAAGATATCCAAAGGTTTTTTTGCACTTAGAGAATCTGTACATGTCTGTACTGTACAAATCTGTACTGTATTTTAAAGGATTAGCCAGGGATAGAAGACTAGGTATAATATATGCATTAATTAGACACAATAGCTATCTTAAAAAATCACAGCTTTTTAGAAGTACAAATTAAAAACAATGCCATTAATTTTCTTTAAGAAAGGAATAAGGCAACATCTTAACTCAAATTAAAAATTTCTATATGTTCTTCATTCAGATAAGTCCCAGTCACTACAAATAATCTCAGTCCTCTATTTTCCCAAGTGTTATTTGTTAAGTGTTAGAGTTTTAAAAATAAATTGTGAAAAAGAAAATAAAACCATCATTACCCACAGGAAATCTTATCTGAGTTTCCATTATTGTAAACAATAGATATTATAATGAATATTTGTGTTGAGATTACAAGGTATGATATGGATATTTATGGGTGATTAGACACGGCTGATAATTAGGCAACCATCATCCCCAAATTATATATTTTAGACTTGATTTATTGGCTACATTATCATAACAATGATCTACAGTCTTGTGATTCAAAATGGTGAACTGATGAATATTATAGACTGCTAGTGACTTGATGATAATAAGCCTGGGGAAAGAAGCTGAACTGTCTTCACTATCTCAGTAAGACAAGATTTCCTATTTTTATAGCAGTCTTTTCCACCTGTCCTAGCACTGAAACACAGAGAGTAAGAATGAGTATTTGACATGAGATTTCAGGAATACCTTGTACAGTGGTATTAA